CTAGAGTCGTGTGCCTTGGCATGAGACTTGAAGAGGAGGAGGAGGAGTAGGCGATGGGTGGAGTAGGGGTGCGGAGGGGCTTTAAGGGGGAGCAGGAGGGGTCAGCGTGGCATATCGAAGAGCTGGAGGCTGGTGAACGGGTGGAGGGGGGGGGGTCCCTAAACCGCAACACTCTCGCACTCACTGCCGTCTGGCCACGTCGCGTGCCAGGACAAGACCCTTGATTTGTTGGGTAAATATTATGAAGCAGGAATCAATAGGCCACCAGTCTCGCCTCCAAATTTGAGGCGCCGAGCAGCCGAGCGGCAGCCGCCCGAGGCAGCGTCGTGCGTGCGCGTTGGCGTGGCCGGCACCACGAAACCTTCCTCTGCCCACACAAATGGATGCGGGTGGGGTGGCGGGCGGCCCCATTTCAGCCCAACGTTTCGAGGCGATCGGCGCGGGGCGGCACTTTTTTTTGTCTTTCCCCTCTCCACTCTCCTCTTTGCGCCTGAATGAGCGCAAACATTTGTGCAATGGGCCTGCAGTAATTTCCAAGCTCTGCTTCAGGTTCTGTTTTACTTAGATGCCAGATCGACGCAGATAAATAAACCTGCTATATAAAAAAGAAAAATTTGTTTGAAAAACAAAAAAAAACACGCCAAAAAAATATTGGCGGTGGGGGGAAGGAAAAACTAAAAACAAGAAGGGGGAAAACAAATCGAGAAAGATTGCCATCGTAATTTGTATGCTTTTATAAAGATTTTCGGCGTCGGTGCTTTTTTTAAATTTTAGGAAAAAAATAAAACGTTAGTGATTTTTTTAAAGGTTCAATTGTTTTCTCTCCTTCACGCACAGTGCAGTGATCGTGGTGGATAGAGGGATAGAGGTGTAGGTGCAGCCCTGACATTACTTTCTCGGGCTGCCGCGGGTGGTGGTGGAAGGGCCTCCACTATAGGGAACTATAGCGTGTCCCTCTAAACTCTAAAGAGTCAGACACATACAGAATATAAAATACACATTTTTTCCACGAATGTCCTAAAGTTTTACAAGGGAACATAGTAAGGTGGTCAGGTTCCTTCATATACAGATTCTTGGCATAAAAAAATGCCTTTGTACCTTTTAAAACATCAAAACCCTGCCTACACCTTATCATTGATATTTGGGTAAAAGCCAAATAGTGCACGGGGTGAAGTTCTTACAGCTTTATCACTCGATTTATTTGTTTAAGTTTGAAAACGTGTGCGAATGTACCTGAAGTGCAATCAGGGCTCCGTTTCTCAATGTTTTTGGCCAATGCTTAATATGTGTACACAAACCACAGCCATGCACTTTGAAGGGGTGGTCTGTTTACACAGTAATCACATCAAATATCATGGAGTAAGTATGTAAACTAAGAGAATTGCATCATTAATCATTCCCTTTGGAGATTAAATAGAAACACACGCGCGTGCACACCGCACACACACACGCGCGCACTCCTGGCCACTTAATATTAATAGCGCATGTAAAACTGGTACAGAATGTTGTGGTCATTCCACATTCTAACATATGACTGCTGCTGGGATCTGGCTGGCTGTGGAAGGGTATGTCTGCAATCTAGCATCTTGTTAGAGGTGGCGGGTTTGGAGGGTCACACAGGGAGTGTGACAATTATGTGTGAAACATCCGCACATATCGGTTGGCAGGTTTCCCACCCGATCCGTGTGCAGTTTTCTCCAAGCATTCTGATTTTTTCCCCACAAGAAAACAAAAAAAAACTAAACACAAAAAAAGAATTGGACAAACATCCCCCGCAGGTCCCTATTGAAAAAAAAATCTTGGAACACTGTGAAATTTTTCCTGAGCAAGCAAATAAATTGAAATTAATATATGTTGATTCTGTTTCTCTGCATTTTGCCCTATACTGGGCTCATGGTGTGAAAGTTACTGTAATGTGTGTGTGGGTGGGTGGACCCACCACCACAGAGGGTGTCTTTATACAGTCTGACACGACATGACATATTAATAAAGTAATTCCTTGTAACAACACAACTCGCCTCTAAAATAAGAACAAGTTATTACTCTACTTACTTGAATTATATTATTAGTTCATGGATTAAATAAATCAATGCACTGTTAAACTGAAAGTTCAGACTTTTTAAAGGGGTGCACGAGAAATGAAAATAATAATAAATGTGGAAAAAATACTTCTGTAATATTTAAAAAGCTTTTAAGTCTAGCAAGGCAGAAACATTGCTGCCTAGATGTCAAAAACTATGCAAATACATCAAATAGGACATGAAATACAAAGTATATGTTTAAATGTTATTGCTTTGTGGATAAACATACCAGTGGTGTTTTTGTAGTGGCTTGAAAGTGTTCGCATTTAAATCGGTTTTGTGCGAGTGTCAGGCATTTCTGAGGCTATTTAACTACTGAGGCCTACTCTAGGCCTCACCCATCCGTGTAGATGTTTCATTTTCTGAAATGTGATGCTCAATATTATCTAAAAGCAAAGTAGATAAAGGGTGTATAATTTAATTTTATTCTCAGTAGACGTATTCGCTTATCGTGAAATACACAAATGCGCAAAGTTTGACTTTGGACTAGACGCCATGGTATGGATTCCCTCTGAAATTATTGTTTTAAACCAAACTGAAACGAGTTCAGGATTGATGGTTTTTTCTGCAGATTTCAAGAAAAAAAGAACTTATCTGATTGAAAAATACTAAACTTTGTTACTTTCACCGCTTCAGCCCAAAATGCCAACTTTGGTAACCTTTCAAAATAATGGGTGTGCTTCAAAAATATGGGCAAGCATACTGGAGAGGTTTTTTTTCTCCAAAAGATGAATTACAATTTCTTTCCATTGCATGTAATAGGTGTGTTGTACGTGCAAGGGGCAGTCTAACTGTTATGAGCGAAGGATATTAAAAGTTTGCACAAAAATACACATTTACCGATTTCTTTTTCGATAAAATGGGGGAATTACAAATGATCACTGTTTGATTCATAGTTGACATGAAATACCCTGGGACATCTTGATTCACAAGGGTAGACTTAAAAACTAACCTGACTAAAATGGTATTAAGGAATGCATTCATAAATGCGCAACTCGAATTGCGCAGGCTTACATTCACAAACAGATAATGCATCTAAACGGATTATCTCACCTGCATCGATAAAGGATTATCAACATAATACAGCAGTCACCTTTTATAGAAAGAAATTAGTGCACGGCAATCATATTTTTATCTTCAATGTGCAGAAAATGTTCATGTAAATTAGAACTTTGGTTGTAATTTAACTTCCCGTGGAATGACAATTGAATGGAGGAAACAGCCAACGGTGTCCAACCATGGTGGCGAAATGTTAACTACCTCGCCTGATATGCAGGAGGGCGCTAGTTTGATCCCGACCCTGACACCTGTATATTTGGAGTTTGCATGTTTTCCCCGTGGTCGTATGGATTTTCATCCGGGTCCTCCGGTTTTTCCCTCCACATTTAGAATCAACGTGCGTTTAAGAGTATGTGGCTGATATAAATGTCCACAGGATAAGCCACTTTGTTCAGCTATCATTTGTGGCCAGGTCGTTTCTGAAAAAGAGCTACATAGCCTTGCCCTTGATTTTTGCATAAGCGTTAAAATCCAAGTTAAAGTAAGGAAGACCAAATAATAAACAGAATAAAAATGAGACCAGTGGCTGCCAACCTGTTGCTCATTGTGTAGCCACTACAAGACTCCTATCAACTGTGTAGGTTTAACATTAAATTATTTGAATAACCTCTACATTTTACTCACATTTAAGTGCAATTACCATCCAAGGCGTTTAGGGAACATGTAATAAGTTAATAACTATACATCTTCAATTTAAGAATTACATTTTAACAACACTTAGAAGAACAAAGCTACTGGTACAGTTTTATTTTTATTTATATCAGTCACTTATCATGAATATTCACCAGAAGTGATCGCCGAGTGTGGAAGGGTGAAGATATTTTCTCATGGGAATTAAGAATTCCTTCTGTTTCTTTGTAAACTGAGATTTCAAAAGAATTCGAGAGAGAACGCTCACGCAACATGTGGATGGGTTGAGGCGGGCAAGTGCACGCGTTCATTGAATTCTATAAAACGGATAAGTATAATGATTTTGAATTGTTACTGTACACACAATGCAGCAACTCTTCGTATTCCTCTGTGATCATACCTCAGAATTGCCAAGGTTTCAACAATAAAAACACCACCACCGTCACCACAAGGCAACAAACCATTTCTAGATGGAGATAAAGCATCTCTATGTCAAGGGAGAATCCCTGTTGGTGGTCCTGAGTCAGTGGTAAGAAATTAGACATTCCCATGGCAGGGGAAAGGATCGCCAGATAATGACAAATGTTGCATTTCTAGAAAGTGGTCCTCAATTCATCCATTCCAGAAGTATGATGGCTGAATTAAACTTACAACCCTTTGCTTTTGAATTGAGCACGCTGTCATATCTCCACCAAGCTGGATTACAATATTCATGAATGGAAGTATATTAGTTTTTGACAAGGGAAAGCAACCACGGTGCAATGGCTACCACACTGGACTTGCAATCCAGTGGTTGCCGATGCGAGCTCTCCCCGAGTGGCAGCTGAGACAACGGTGCAGGTTCCATAAATCCCACCGCCTCCGTCCACCCAGAGCGATGTGTATGAGCACGGCACTGTTTGTCGCTCGGCAGGTTGCGCGTGGTGGGGTGGAGTGTGGGTACACTCATCTCTTCCAAGACGTCTAGCCACCATGGAGGAATACATCCACACCACCCTCTAAAAAGGCTCGATCGTGCCCCCTCTAGCCAAGACTTTTTCGCAAGCAGTGGAGTGAACAAGAAATTGCAGGGATGTACCTTGAGCTGTATCTATAAGATACACAGACGGTTGATCACAGTGGAAGGTGGGAGAGCTATATACTTTCCCCTGATTGAAACTGATTTGCTTGTTTATGTATGGAGGCCCCTCAGGAGGTGAAACGTGTGTGACCTCCGCAAGGCCTGCTCACCTCGAAAGTCCCACTGCTGCCGGGCATTCTTGACCTGCTTCAAGAGGTGTTCCAGAGCCTCCGTCTGATGTCTGGTGTCCCGGACCTCCCGCCCATCGCACTGCCGCCAGTCTGTGTGTATGTGTGTGCGCACGTGTGTGTGGGGTGGGCCCAGCGTACCGGAGTTAAAATGCAGCCTTCAGTAAAAAACTAGAAAGCATGTAATGATCTGTTGATTCGTCAATTGATATCGATTATTTTGCTCATATGTATGTATGTTGAACTTCTTTTGCACCGTACGTAGTCAACCGTGCTAAACAGAGGTGAGGGGGAAGGACAACAAACTAAATACCAACAGCAGTTCGAAAGAAATAAGTTTTCAATCTAGATTTAAAAGTGCATAGCTCCAGTGGCTTTCTAACATCGGAAGGAAGAGCGTTCCAGACGGCCGCAGAAGTGAATCTGAAAGCGCACGATGCAGTGCCCGTCTTTGTGTGATACTTACACATTATATACAAGTGTTACATTTACACCGATTGAGCGAACAAAACTGTAAGTTTAAATTAGATGGTAAAATTAGGCAATCCAATTAAGTGAGTCTTTCATTGAATCGGAATATATGAAATCGCTGGAGAGATTAATTGTTTCATGCCTTCAGACTCGTAAGAACAATTTTCTATGGTGATACCCAAGCAAAAAAGTGGATTAACTCAAATGTCAAATATCAGAACAATACGGAAAAAAACCCGACATAATACGCCAGCGTGTAACAGATAACATTTCAAATTTACACGTGGTTTTCCTGTGAACACCGAAAACCCCCCAACAGATTATGGCAGAAACACTATATAGTTACAGAACACATTCGTAATTTTAGACTTACAATTCCATTCAAGTTCTGAGCTCTAACAGTTTATTTTTTAATAAGGGGTAATGTATATTTCTAGGCGTTTTGGGTTGTAAAAATATGATAAAGGTGCAGCCCTGCAAATACTTGCTCATGTTAATGCTGTTAAAAGGGCACTCCACGAGAGGTAGCTCCAAAATATCTCCTCCTCTTAAGAGTATATTTTGACCTACTCTTCTACGCTGGTCAGACGTTATGGAAGAGGTGGTAATACCCACACATTGCCCCACCACACGTGGCCTGCTAATCCACTGACTGGTGAACCCATTTATGCTGCTGGGTGGATAGAGGCAATGAGGCGATTGGGCAATGGGGAAGGATTTAAGAAACGTGTCCACCGTTTCAACTGCCGCGCCTGGAGGCTTCTGGTTTGCGAGTCCAGCTTGCTCAAATTTACAGCTCGGCGAACATCCCTTGGGTAGCGAGAGTAGCGTGAATATGATGCCATGAATGTTATTAAATGCCTTCACTGTGGCTAGTGCACAGCAAATGAAGTGTGGTCATGAGCAATGCTGCAGGGAATTGTTGCATCACAGGGGTTCCCACTAATGTGTGCCTGTTTAATATAGCTGTGGAACTCATCAGAAAAGTTGCGCATACTAGATGTGGCCTAAAGGAATTCGAAATAGGATACTAAAAGTGCACACAGAAGAGTGATTCTTCCTTCATATGGCAACCGTAAACAACAAAGCAATTAATGTATTATGTTGCATGATTAATGCATAACAGGGGGCTTCTAAATAAACCTAACATTAGGTTGGTGTGGAGTTACTGAAAGTGTTACTGTCCCCTGGCTGTACGCTGCAAAAAGAGAATGCCACAACATTGATGATGTTGCTGGTTGTTACCATCTTACCCGATGGGATCGCAAAGACAGGAAGTGAAGTCTGTGTGGGACCCCATCCTTTCATGTTGTAAGCCATCACGCGCACGTAATATTCACAGCCCTGAACAGGAGAAAACGTGAAAATTTTATATTTTGATTCAATTATATCTATGTGTGTATATATATAGTGTGTGTCGTACAAGCGATGTGTATTTAGTATATATTAAAAACAAATTTCAACTTAATATTAAACTATGGCTCTTATCCAAATAAATAATATCTACTTGTGTAGTTATTGACGAACATAAATCGTCACGTGATATTCGCCCGAGAAAATTACAACCAATTAAATGTCCCTCATTAAATGGCGTGAATCGCATGCTTCGAGCGCTCACAGTGAAACACACTGCACCGCCTTAACGTATAGGAGCATAAACACATCGAGCCTGGAGGAGGACCAAGTTAACATTTCCAAAAGTGTTGGCGTGGCGGCCTTTAGCCTCTGAGAAAACGTGGGCGGCTGCGGGACACTACGAGGCTGTGTACAGCGCCCAGTGGCCACACCGTTAGCGTGTGACAAGCAAATCATTTTCTTTGAGCGAGGAACGCTCCCCAACAAAAGAGGCTTTCAGGGGCGCTTTCCATTCCGTTTGTCGGGTGTCTCGCCTGCCCGACGCTGCCGCCGCAGGGCTTAGTATACCTGCGTCGGCCAAGGGAAAACAACGAGTGCGCTGGGGCCATTTGCGTAACGAGAGGTGACAAACAGGCACATTCGGCCTGTTTGTCGGGATTTAGAACATACTTGGAATTACATGACGGGACTGATTAAAGGAATGCGTGGATGAGAAAACGTGCTCGGGTTAAATACAGAGTTCGTAACCGTAGGCATGGGCAGGGAGTATCGCTCGAGGGAACGATGGTCAAGAACAACGATGAAGCGGCAGCCAAAGGATGGAACACATTCAACAGGATGCCCAGTTTGCAATGTAATGGGCTCACGTGTGGGCACGAGGTGGATCACTACACTGCAGCATCCCGAGCAACTGGTGCAGCTTGGAGGGGCACCTATGTCCACCAGTTCAATGATTGTGGCTGAAAATGGCGAAAATGCTGGCCCATGGAATAAATGCTGGGATTAGTAACCAATGATGATTGTTGTGTTCATCGTGAAAGAGCTGGTACTGCTGATTACTATGTCCTGAAAACAAAGAAAAATTCACCGACGTGTCACTGAAGGGTGAAAGTGTGATGCAAGAGATAGCAGCGCAGCTAGAACCAGAGGTTATAGATCACTGCAGAATGTGCACACTGGAACGATGGATCTGGGGTAGAGATTGTCTCAAGACACATCGCCATCATGAATTATTGTTTTGTTGGCCGTTTCATTGAGCATGGAGACTACCTGATGGATGAATGCCAATAGGCATGAAACCATTCTAGAATGCAGCTACATAAAGTCGAATTAGGAAATAATTGTTTAAATTCTCGCGTGTGCATTGGTAATGTGTTTACCAAAAAAAAAATGGTTATCAGTAGTGTATTATGCTCCACCTGTAAGCAATCTGGTCTGGTGGTTAGAGAGCTCAACGCCACTGGAAGGGTTGCAGATCAAATCCAGGCCAGGTGTTGACTTAGCCCATCGTCCCTCCGAAGTAGACTGAACACGGCCAGGGAAACGAGTGCCTCCCATTGCTGGTTTTAGCAGAGCCACTTTATCGTTTTATACAAGACAAAGCACAGGTATCGTTCAGCAAATTAAAGTATGGAGTGGGTGTGCAGTGGTTAACTTACTGCACAGTGAGCCTGCCCACTACTATATCATCAGTGGCCAAGATCAGTAAAATCTCATCCAGTCATTGTCCCAGGGACAGCATCAGGGGTGGGAGCACTGGGCTGAGCCCTGCACCATCAAATGCCCCCTGGTTCCCCACCCAAGTTCACTCCCCGTAGCAGTGAATCGCTATCATAGTGCCCCGCACACAGCAGCTCGACAGGGCCACGCATCCGAGAGAAAGTTGAAGCCAAGGCCCTGCCAGGACCTCCCGTTTGACCACGCCACACTCACCAGCGTGGTGCAGTACGGTCAAACAACCATCATGACCAAAATGCCATGGGGCTGCCTTCATCCCGCAGCATATTACTAGTTATTTTAGTAAACGTAAAACATTTTACGAAGCCCATGTTCCTGCCCTGGTCTTACCGAGGTCAGCCCTCTGATTTGGTAGCATAAAGAGTGGCAATCTTCCAGCACAGCTTCTCCTGCAAGCTGTTCAAATTCCTCCATGAGACTCCATTCCACTGCAAGAGAGACGATCAGAGAGAACAAATCAATACATACGATATTTTCTACAAATTACAACGATGATGACGATGACGATGAAACAATTTACAAGCACACAGTTCAGTTGCTAGAAAATAAAATTGACGAAGTACTGCACAAGCAATGTTTGCAGGGATTTACAAGACTTTAGGAATGTCTGCATTTGGCATAGAGAGCATGCTGCATTATCTGTAAACCATCTATGATTCTTAGCTCTGTGGGCTGTTAAGCTATGTCAGAAATAACAAAGCACCGTGTAAACAGTCATGAATGAAGGGTTGTAAAGAGCAAATTATTGTTAACTGTTTGCCATGTCATAGGTCAATTCTGGCCTATAATACCTGTTGCGTAACACAGCCCTTGACTTGAAACATCGATTTCTTTCAAGCAGATTACCGAAAATGGGTTTCATTCATTTTTAAAACGACTTTTTTTTTAAGCAAGTGTACTTGTTTAAAATCTGCATTAAATTAATTGCGAAATTACACAGATCATTTCACTGTAAGAACGGGCATAACGATGGAAATTTCCCCACTCACAATTCGTATTTTCTTCATTTCTGAAAATCCGAATTTTGGTTATCATTATTGGGGGAGCAGTCAGAAACAACGAAAATAATGCGAGAGTGACGATGCAACAGCATTAAACCTCAGAGGCTGCCCTTCCGCATTGACATCATCAGGTTGGCGAGACATGTGTGGGTAGCACTGGGCTGAATGTGGAATTCATTGAAGTGGCGTTCGCAGTTATCGCCTTTGACAAAAAAAACCTTAACATAAACAGAGCAAATGCAAAGCAACTTGCGTGAGGCAGATCAAACGCAGCGGTTCGTGCCATGGGCTAACATCGGCGGCAAGTGATGTCTGAACTTGTCCTGGGCCCGCCCAGCTTACACCAAACCTTCACTGACCAGCATGGGGAAGTATGGTCAAGCGATCCAACATGACCCCTGCGGTGTGGGAGAGACATTCAAGCAGCAGTGGAATGATATTATATACATCCTCATGCTGTGCTCATTGGATGGGATGCTATCATAATGCAATGGTTAGCACGCTGGCCTTATAATCCCGAGGTCGTTGAAACAATGGGTCAGTTTATTAATTAGAGAGGTCGCACGCGGTGGAAGTGAACTGCGGTTAATCCCATTTCTTCCAAGACGTCTGGCTGGCATGGCAGAGTAGTCCAACGCACCCTTCTCCCGAGGGGCCTTTTCTCGAGGGGCCCCTCTAGCGGAGGCCCATGCGCCGATCGCAAGGGCTGCCCCATTTTACCGTTCGCTGATTTGTCGGGGGGAGGGGTGCGGACGGACGTTGTGCACCGGGAGCGAGCGCGTTACCGCGGTATCGCGTGACGACCGCCGAGTTGACGCTGTGCGGCTCCTGGAAAGTGACGGCGAGGCTGTCGGCCCCCGTGACTGACAGACACACCTGGGCTGGCGCCTCGGGGACTGCTGCTCCGCACACAAAGACAAAGATCCCACCAACCCCCCCCCCCCCCAAAATCATGTAGTCTTCAACACACTGTTGGGGGCGGGTGCTGTCAGCGAGTGAGCGTCCGTGAAGGCCGGCGCGACGCACGGCAGGGTGGGTGGCCAGCACCGACGCCCGACCGCATTTTTCTCCCCAATACTGACGGTTATTGCGCACCGCACACGGATGACTCATTTAAGGCCGAGTTGACCTAGGGGAGGCCCAGAACCGGTTCAGGCATTCGTCACCGATGTTGGCCCGTTAGCGGGAATCGAAGTCGGGATTTCAGGTTCGCAGGGCAGCGCGCTAACCTCTACACTACCGCTCCCATGGGCATGGACTTAAAAAGACACGCAGACATATGCACACCGTACATACACAGACAAAGATCCCCGGTATAGCCACAACACACTATCGGGGCAAGTGTTGTAAATGAGTGTCTAATAAGGTTGGCATGATTCATTGGCTTTAGTGAGACCAGCTTGGTCTCGCTAAAGCCAATGTTATCCACACTGTAACAAAGCTTGAGCCAACAACATGCATGGTTTGTAGGCATAGAACAATGTGCCCTCATCTTTGACCCCCAACACCTTACCGAATTGTCACGATTTGGGGTTGCGATTTAACCCAAGAATCATGTTCATTTGTCGATTTCTCTCCGACTCCTTTGTTTCATTTTTTTCCCTTTCATCCATCCACTCCACGAGGCAAAATTTGCATACGCTTTGAATAATTGATTCTCAAAGCATAATTCAATGCGGGTATCACGAGTGTATGATTAAACGTTAATCAATTAAACTGCACAAACGCCACGGTCCTACCCATTGCCGTAGCTAGTGGTTGAGCCTGGGTAGCTGCAATCATAGCACAATACACTGGCAGCCAATGGCTCACTCTGCTGTGCCTGCCATTTCAATGCCTTCTTTATTCCAAAATTGAAAACACAACTGCAGGTAATGCTATAGCTTTGTCCTGTACAGAAACTAGCTGTTTCATCTGAACGGATTTTTTTTCCAGTACAGCTCTCCGATGTGTTTGCGGGTCGTACCACGTGTTGTTCAGCACGATGTCCGGGCATTTCGCTCCCATATGTGCCGGGGGAGCTTGTGATTCATTTCCTGAAGAAGCTGTCAGCACGTTGAGCAAAACGTCGGACATCATGTCGAACAACCCGGAAACACATCGGAGAGGTACAATGTGGCACACACAAACAAAGGTGCCCCCTATAGCCCGAACAAACTCTTGGGGCAAGTGCTGTTAGCGAGCACCTATGAAGGCTGGCACGAAGGGGTGGGTGGCCAGCACCAAGCCCGGCCGCCTTTGTCTCCATATTGGCGATGTTTACGCATCAGGTACTCATTTGAGGCTAAGTTGACCTAGGGCAGGCCCAGGACCGGTTCAGATAATTGTCACTGGTGCTGGTGGCCGTGAGCAGGAATCGAACTTGGGTCGCCGGGTTCGTAGTCCAGTGCGCTAACCGCTTCACTACCACTCCCCAAAATGTGACACACACACACGCTCACACGCACACACTCAGAGGCGAGAGGGTTAAGGCTTGCTGTGCACTATAGTTGGAGTGTTGCATGCATCAGTCACCACCTGCCGAGCCAGGGCACAGCAGGGCCTTGCACGCAAGGCAATCAGGCGGCGTTGGAAACCACATGTGAAAACGTTGTCTCCACTGCTGCGACCTTGCCAAGGAGAGAGAGTTGGGAAGCTACGTGCCTATTCCGCATGGGTACAAGCGCCGCGCCGCGAGGGCTGGACTCACGGAGGTGAACCATGGATCTACATAACGGAAACGACCCTCTGCCGCTCAGTGAATTCTGATCAAGGTCCTGGGAAATGTGACAAAGCCGTTTACTTTTTTGCATTAAATCTTCTTTCAGCTTTCAATTTTAGATGACAGTCACTGAGTGCTCAAAAACTTTTGCTGCTCTAAGACTAACAAAACATAAAAAAATATATAATGGACATTTGTTTAAGAACATTGTTTGTTTGTGAAAAGCCAGGGGGTGTGATGCTGAATGTGAATGAATGCAGACAGCCCTGTGTCCTGTAGAATGCGTAGACATTGCTGTGAAGCTGACGTAATTTTCATTGACGTAACACACAACTTGATATGGCAATTTTCATAATTGATGCTGAGAGCAATATCACCTCCATAGCAATGCACAATGACATTGCAAGATAAGCAATCACTGAGGAATATGTCCGTGAACGCGTGTTACATTAGAAAGTGTCAAATGCAATGTTTGGGCCAATGTATGAGAACAAAAGTGAGTGTATGGGAATAAGGGGATACCATTTTAACACAGAGGCTTTCATGAGCAATCGTGTCATTGTGTAAATTCTTAATTATGAAGGAAATAAAACGTTTATAATACTCATGGATGAGCCATTATTCACATAGTTACTGCATTTAAAACGTTGTATTTGTGTGTGCTGTTAGAGTATTTAAGTAAATTGTCGTGATAGCTTAACACGTAGGCTGTCGCTTCCAATATTATCCATAATAGAGGTTTTGAGGTTAAATCGCGTAAATGGAAATGTTTCATTAAACCTACAGAAACAGGAGGATTTCTCCACAACTCTGGCTGTCGCCTGATGATGCTTGTTCTAACTACTGTCGAAACGTTACGGTACTCGAATTGTAAATGTTGTGGGTTCATACTCTCCAACACACCGATGTGCTGTACTAGTAGTGAATTGGCATGTTCTGTTTATGTGACAAACCTCAATATTTGGCTGTGACAGATGGTGGCGGGTTTAATGACACATTATATTCATGCGATCTAACCCAAAAACCTATATTATAGATTTTTGTGACAGTTTTGATTTGATATGTAAAAGCGGTTTGTTTATTCAGGGATTAAAATGGTTCAACAGGATATGTTGAGACAAAGATTATCAGCAAATATTCATGTAGTGAAGAGCACGTAAAAATAAATTCATCGTCAGTGGCCAAGTAGGGCCAGGTAGTTAACCTAAATCACCACAATTGTATTTCAGTGTCTTAATCACATCAAACTCCCTACAGTATGCTGGCGAGATGTTATCTCCCCCGCCTGGTACGCAGGAGGTCGTGGGTTCGAACACAACTCTGATTCCTGGGTCTGTTCCGTGACCTCCTGCCTTCGACACTTCGCGTGGCCTCAAAAGTGCACCTAGTCTGGCACAAGCACCATGATGAGGTCACTGCCACTTAGTAGCGAACGGCCGCTGTTGTCATTGTTGTTGTGTGTGAGCATACATGCATGTTGAATGCCGGACACCATTCGCCGGAAAAGCCGCTGCCTCCACTCCCAGGCTCGGAGCTGCTTCTGCCACTCGGTGGCCTCGGCCGAGGCCGGCTCGCTGGCCAGCGCGGCCATCAGCTCGTCCGCTCGCCGCTCCGCGTCCTCCACCAGCCCTGCCAAGAGCGCCAGCCGCTTGCCGGTGCTCACAACTGTGCAGCAAATGGGGGACGGGGGAGGGGGCAGGCAAATTTAGTCAGACAGAGGGCCAGTTAGCCAATCACAGGTCACAAAACAATGCTCACCGCTGCGCCGTTATAGAGGAGAGTTTGAAGGTGGGGAAATGAAACGGGGTTAAGAAAAGAGTCGATGTGAAGATGGGATAATTAAGAGGCAATTTAAGAAGACTCCATTTGAACAGGGCATCCTTCTGAAAAATAGTCTGGAGACTCAATGAGACTTTATTGGATAAATGAAGGATTATTTATTTTGAGTGATTGCAGATGTACTGGCTATTGTTACTCTTGGCTGAATATGTTAGGCCTTCATCCAGAAGGGCAATAGATTGAATGATAATAATAATATTAATATAAAATTTATTTAAGATCATTGTTACATATTGTAAAAAGTTAGTTTTGGCACAATTCTATCTTTTTTTATTTGTTTGCACATGTCTTGTAGAGCATTTTCATTTTGTTTGTCTTCTATCCACAGTTATTCCAACTGTGAAATTTGTGTAATAACATGGCATGAAGAATTCATTCAGAAATCCCACAGTGCAGTATGCCCCTCATGTCAGAGAACTGCTGCTGAAGAGATTGTTCGCAGGACTTCTGAAAAATCTTCCAGGTGACCTTTTTATCTTGAAAACAGAAGGGGTCTATATATTTCCTGTATTCTTCACCATGATATTGTCTTATGCATGACAGTAACACTGATATTTTTTTATTTTAAGAGCTGAAATTTAGCAATTTGTGCAAACCCGATATTTATTTAGTTTTTCGAAACCATGAACTTGCTACACTTAATAATCTAATTTAATTGCGAGTGGCTGCCCAGATTCGAACCCAAGAATTAAGCAGTGGTATCTAGGGAATCTGATCAACAAATCACCCAGCCCATCGCCTTAGCATTCTAACCCTTGTTTGTATCCCGTAATACATCAAATTCAACGTTTTTCTACTCCAGACTTCCATTGCTTAATAGACTTACCGTCTAAGTGGGCTCTCACCTGGCCAAAAACCAGATGATGGGCTCCTGGCTGCGTTGACGTCAGTGTATATTTATTAAATGTATTACATTCACAGTTTGGGTGAGATCTGCTACACGGCCACCAGCTGCGAAGGGAAACTCATTGGAAATAGTTGTTAATATCTACTTGGGTCCTTGCCCAAGATCCACCATTTAGCATTTGAGGCTTGGGAATACGGAAGATAGTATGCGTGCCACTGCGCTTCCATTAGCAGACGTTTCAGCAGTTGCCGATGATAATTGTAAATTCATATACCTAAGCAGAAAATGCCTGTGCAATAGTAAAGCATTAAAGTTTTTATATCACAGCAACATAAGTCAAAAATAATTCCACGTGTATAAAAGAGGCTTTGGCGCAATTGTGTTTTGGCTATACAAGGTGGGGTTGAGCAGTGACCCTGATGGTTAGTACACTACACTTTGAACTGAGCATCTTAAGTATTTGACTGCTACTATACATTTCCACGTGGTAAGCCACTTCGTTGAGCTATCATTTGTGGCGGCCAGGTCGCTTTAGAAAGAGCTACACAGCTCAGTGGGCCTTACCTGGTAAAATAAAAAGTACTTTAGGAGTTTTAAGTTTTAGTCGGGGCCGCAGCTAACGCCAGTGTTCGAGCGATATCCAAACTGGTTCTCAACCTCCATCACAATTCCTCCCAGCCTCAACGTCTACCAACTCAAACTGACCAACACGGTGAAGTTACGGTCCACGGCGTAGGCGAGGCCTTCGTTCAACAGTAGATTTATAAACGTCTGTAAAATTATTTCGAAACGGGACTCCTTTCATTGCAAACATGGACCTTATAAAAAAGGGAAAATAACAACAAACGATTCAGACGTCTAGGTATTCTTCATTAAAAAGGGCCACAGTGTGATAAGATGAAAATAAAGTTCCCATCACCTCTTTTATACACGTGGAATTATTTTTGACTCATGTTGCTGTGATATAAAAACTTGAATGCTTCACTATTGCACAGGCATTTTCTGCTTAGGTATATGAAGTTACAATTATCCTCGGCAACTGCTGAAACGTCTGCTAATGGAAGCGCAGTGGCACACATACTATCTTTCGTATTCCCAAGCCTCAAATGCTAAATGGTGGATCTTGGGCAAGGACCCAAGTAGATGTTAACAACTATTTCCAATGAGTTTCCCATCGCAGCTGGTGGCCGTGTAGCAGATCTCACCCAACTGTGAATGTAATACATTTAATAAATATACACTGACGTCAACGCAAGCAAAACAATATTCAGAGGATGGTATGGGTTCATAAAAGCATCGTACAGAATTGGGGAGACGTCAGAAACACAACAAATATTCCAAGCAAATATGGTAAGCGTGGAGGAATAGATCAACAAACGATCCTCTCCAGAGTTCCCTCTCACGCAGGCCCTTGCACCAAGTGCAAGCGGTCTGAGGAAGCGTTAACCAGCGAAGGATATGTGAAGTGTTTCGCGTGCGAAGCCACTTTCATTGAAACTTCACGAGACAGCAAGTGAATGCTGGCAAGGCTGCGCACCGTGGGTTGCCCAGTCGTACAGCGGCGCGGGTTGATTGTATTTGACAGCGTGGACGTTGCTACTTCGTTTGGTGTGCAAGTGCTGAAGACTTGTACAGTACCCAAGTTATTCCAGGCACCGAGAGGAGAATCAAATGAGGTGTAAGCACACAGCCCTTTAACACCACGTCGAGTTCACATTATCGTAACGAAAGACGCTATTTTTTAGGAGACAAATTGGTTGTTTTTTTTTACAGTTTACAAAACACAGAATGTGCTTGTTATACACGCGGCTAACTTCATGGAGTAACAGTAAAACGGTGTTAACCACGAGCGAACTTATGACTGATTGTTTTCTCAACTGCTTAATTAAGTGGTGAAATCGAGCTCATTTGTGAAATTAAACTCGTGCAAAGTGATGGTACGTAGGGGAGATACATTACTAAATTGTCACAAAAACTTAAAAATCAACAGCAACTAAGTGGGAACACCGGCTGACTAATTAAACTGTACAACCGATGACAGATTCGAAACGAATTATCACAGCTCACAATAATCTCACATCGTGCTGCACTCACCACTGGAAGGTAACAATGCATGCTTGTTTAGAACAGAATGTAAGTCCAACATTTGTATACCGGGTGCAAGGCTGCAAGGCTGCACGCGGTATATTGCGACGTGTATCATCTATGAGCTGGTGGGGGAACGAGCAGGTAACCCTGCATGGAAATTATTTGGTGCACTTGAAATTTGTCGATTGTTAAAACAAGGTCCTTAAATCCCATGATTTGGTCGGGACAGTCTTGGTTTTGCAGAGCATTTGGAGATTTTTCATTTTTCAGATTTAAAATGGGTGGGGTTACATGACAAAAGGGCGGTGGTTGTCAGAGGGCTAGGAGGGTGCCTATGAGCTGCAGGTGGGGTCACCTAGCCTGGTACAAGCGCCATTGTGACATCACCGCCACTTAGTGGCGAATGGCTGTTGTTCTTGTTGGGGTCAATGGCAGAGAGGCGGGGGGGTACTCTCTCGGTGGACAGGGGTAGTGATTGAGTGGGCGAGGCCATGTCAAAGTGGATGTGGCTGAGGTTGGCAAGGGGCGGGCAGCACGGAGACCTGTTGTGGCACCCAGAGGATTGAATTGGGCAGTTTTATGATAATCAACTCGTATTGCGCGTGACACCTCGCAATGATCAGCACCTTCATCACACACCCAGGGGTGTAACAATCAATCCTCAGCACCCTGCCAGGAATTAGACGAATTGTCATGATTCAATACACAAATTTACAGATGAAAATACATGCTTCCCCTAACAATACATGCATTCAATCACGTGCGCATAAATCGATGTTTTTCAATATGCTTTGCACGTAATGGGCTTACATCGATCATCTAGCCACGAGAGGATGCTAGATTCGCCATCATTATGAAGTCAACAAAAATAAGATTCTTGGAATAACATCGTGAGACTGATTTATGACAATTTAGTGAAATCGCCAGGCGGTTGAATTGTTACGCCCATTGCGATCCGGCACCGTAATTTTCATGCAACGCTTTCGGACACAGTCGAGCTGCGGGATTATTGACACGACCGCGACCGTTGAACTCCAACGCGCGGCAGTTGTGTGCTTAGCGAGTGCGTGTCACACCGCTGAGTCGGCTCGCGCGCGTTAACAGCGACATGATTTCACTAATGTTGCCCACACGACCTTTGACTCCGATCGTCGGCCAGGCGCAAGGACACGTGCGCACTGCTCTCGTACTGCGGTGAGAACACGCGTTAGCGCCTATTCATACGAAACACAAGTCACGTAAAATTCAGGTGCAATAACGCAAAGACGGGCTATGGACATAACAATAATAATGTAGATTCATAAGGCGCCCTTAAACTATTTACATCAGTTTAAAACGGAGGCTTTCACGACCAATATTTTATCCATAATAGAGGTTTTGGGGTTAGATCGTGTAAATATAAAAGCATCGTTAAAGCTGCCACCACCCGACACAGCCAATTATTAAGGTTTGTCACGTAAACAAAACATGCCAATTTGTTACGAGTACAGCACACCAGTGTGTTGTGGAGAAATCAGGAGGATTTCAGAGTCCCGTGTGTATAAAGAAGGGAAATAGGCGAAACAATAGGGGGAGAGAAGGCCTCAGGGAGACAAGATAGAGAACGAGACAGAGAGAGGCCTTTTCAACAGGTTGTGGTCTTCAATGACTGATTATTCCAAACCTCCAAGGGCAGCGAGTTTCGCGATGCGTTGTAATCAACGGTCACCTACTGCCGGACGACCGCCACCCCAAGTTGTTGTCAACTATCGCATGTTCTGTGATGTAGCAACAGTCCACCCACAGCGCCTGCCTGCCCGTGGCCAGATTTCATCCGCCTCCCGTGTCGGGACGTACTCCTGGACGCGTCGCATTCCTCAGCTGCCAATCTATAACTATTCTAGACCATCTTCTTTTGCATTTAGAAGTAAGTGCTTTGGCTAAATTCCGTGCGCACGTTTGTATCTTGAATACCCAGAGGTTATTTTTTTTTCTCCTCCCAGTACACCATTTATTAAGTCGTTTACTTGTCAGATATAGTTGCACGCAATGATAATACACCTTTGGAATGCCGATGTGTGGTGCTGGCTGAGCATTAAAAGAAGAGATGACTAGGATATTGGCAGCATTGAAAATATACATCTGGCATGGTATTTCACGCAGACGTAAGCACTCAGCAAAATGTTGAGTTTACGAAAAAAAACCACCAAAAAACACATTTGAGCAAATTATGCCAGGGCCCTTAGGGTTCTTCTGTAACTGACATTGCAATGGAACACCTTGACCTGATGTTTTTATTCACACCAACATAAAGTCAAACGAGTGAGCTGCTTAGTAACCATATGAGTACACATTATCAACACCTTCTCATTGTTATTACACGTCAATGTATGCCTCGGGCATAACATCGGCATTGCATCCCACCAATAATTGTAAGTAATTTTAAACAAACCTGCGAATGCCGTATGAATACAGAAGCTCTGAAACACATCAGCATATTTCACGTGCATGAAATACTGAATGAAGGCTACTTTCTTGCAGCATTGGTGGCCGCATCACAGGCACAAGATTAACGCACGATTAGGCAAATTGCGCAAGGTAATTTAAATATCCTTTCGGTTGCCCTGTGGAATATCGCCAAATGCACACGATGTGCAGGTGTAGAATGATATGGTAAGGCCTCGATATTCGCGAGGGTTATCTTCTTGAAAATCACGCCACTGCTAGCGTCCACTGGAGAACGCTGCAGAGAGCTCCTCGATGTGATCCTTGGCCTACTTTCCATGCTGACCAGATGTCTCGGAAGGGGTGGGCATACCCATACTGATCTACTCGGGTGTACACATTTATACCTCTTGCAGGACAGGGACCCGGCAGATTGATATTCTTTTAACTATCAGGCCGAATTGCAAGTTGAGTATGCTCACCATTGCAGCACGGCAGCATTACAACAGAATAAATTAGTAGAAAAACAACTGGCACGTCGCCTGATTCATTATCAGTTAGTTTAACACGTAGGCTTTTCTGACCAATATCATCCATAATAGAAGTTTTTGGGTTAGATCACGTAAATATAAATGTGTCGTTAAACCCGCCACCACCCGACACAGCCAATTTGTAAGGTTTGTCACGTAGACAGAACATGCCAATTCGTTACTTGTACAGCACACCGGTGTGTTGGGAGAGCAAATCCACAACATTTACAACGTTTCACCAGTAATTACAACTAGCATCATCTGGCGAACGGCCAGGTTTCGTTTTTAGTTGTGTATGAGCGTGCATGAACATTGGGCCCGTGGGCTAGCAGGAGGCTCAACTCACACTCGGGGCTCTCGTGAGCTCCGGCCGTCAGCAGCATGCGGGCGATGGGCACGTTGTTGGTCATGACCGCAATGTCGAGAGGCGTGAGGCCGTCGCTGTTGGGCGAGCTGAGGTCAAGCTCCTCGGCCGAATGGCGGGACAGCAGGCCCTGCACCGTGTCCATGTCCTGATGCTCCACCGCCTCAAACATTGCCTCGACGCATGACAAGCCCTGCAACCCCCAGTGCACAGACACCCCCCGCGAGAATTTTAGAAAACACGTGCAGGTGTGCGATGCGCCCAAAATGATGTTGGCTTACGGCAGCCGTAACGTATAACGCGTGAGAACCATTCGACTAGCAACAGACGTGAATTGATTTGTTTGTTCCACCGAATGTTTGTTAAACTTTCTGCACGACTTTTTCACCGTTGCATCGTTGCATCTTTAAGGAGCAGCACAATGTGTGTGAAACATCTTGACGAATGGCGAGCATTAGTTGTAGCCTTGAGTTGATGTTTCGTAAAATGCTGAGTGATCATTTATCACCATTTTGTTGGTACATCTTCCAGAGGTCCCATAACGCAGAGGGGGTCTCCACTTATATTTCACGATAGCAGTGCACAGCTGGTCCACGAGCCATTGACCCAAACATTTCTTATTGGTACCACAAAGGGTGGCAAAAGCGAATTATGATTTTGTCGAATAATATTATCATGAGATAAAAAATATGGATGAAAGCAAGGTTACTATAATAGCATTTATGAGCAAAGGTCATTCAAGAAAAGTATTGTCGTATTATTGATAGTGAACATCCTTTTGGAGAGAAAAATAAATGATTATTTGAAACATGTAGGCAATATGAAAATAAAATTTGTATTTAAAGCTTTCGTGACTGCAGAGATTCATATTCTTGGCTCTTTCGGTAAAGTCACATAGAAGGGAAATACAAAATATTCATAATTATTTAATTATTTCCCTTCTACGTGACTTTACCGAAAGAACCAAGAATATAATATGAAAATAAATAGAAAATTGTACGTACATAAAACTGAAATTATATACGCTAACCTTGGCGGAGACTGTCAGCGGTGAATACTGCCCATTTGTGAGTACTGGGAGCGTTCGTCATCCCAAGTGGTACCAATCACCCACCCCTCTTGGCTCATGGGCTAAGCTGGGCAAAAAACACCGGTGTTTCCAATGCCGCAGTGTTTATTGGCAGTGTTTATCAGCGAGTGAATTTCACCAAAACATGTTTTGTTTATAAACCTCGTTGAAAAAGCATTAACACGGTTTGTTTCCCCGATAGTTTATGTAAACCTTTACTTTTTTCTCATTAATTTCCATGTGCCACCACATTTCAAAGTGTGCTTGCCTTACATGGATCAAATTAAACATCTATTTCCTCTCTTAACTTTGAAGGTCATTTGTCAAAAACATTGATGCCATTACATTGAAACTGTTTTGAGTATGTACGTTGAACTTTCTTTTGCACCACACCTAACCAACTGCGCTAATCGGAGGTGCGGGGGAAGGATAACAAACTAAACAAAAAAGCAGTGCTAAAGAAATGAGTTGTCAATGGAGATGATTTAAAAGCACATAGCTCCAGTGGCTTCCTAATATTGGGAGGAAGAGCGTTCCAGATGGCCGCAGAAGTACTTATGAAAGCGCGCGATGCAGTGACAGTCTTTGTTCGATGGTTAGCCAAAGGCTGCTGCGAGTATGACCGGAGTTTGCATGATGGTTTATGCTCCTTGACGAGATCAGCAAGGTGTTGTGGTTCCTTTGTGGCAACCACTTTGTGTGTAATGAGTGCGACCTTGTAATGTATTGTGATATACAATCAAATTATAATAATTTTACAGTCGCAGCTGCATATATGCACACTCCTTGGTAGCAAGTAGTATGATTGTATGATACATTTCCCTGCTTCACCCGTGTAAAAACACAAAAGAATCGTTGTTATTGTGAGAATATAACCAACAAATAGGTAAGCAGACAATACAGTGGGCTTTGCCTGCTGAAATGAGGATGGTTTCGTTTTATTTGTGTGTTTGGGTGATTTGTAAACCTTTCTTGTATTTTGTGAGAATATTGTTGTTGTAACGTTCTGACCCGCCCCTACTGGACAGAGAGCTTTATAGCTCATCAGATTCCTCCAGTATAAATACATATTCTGATTCTGCTATATCTTTATCTCCACATAACAAAATTAAAGTATGACACAACCCCTTGGCTCCACAGCCTTCTGGGAGTGGATCATTTCAGCAGCATTGATTCAATGGAAACAAACTCTGGACCGTTTTCAAATTACAGTGTCTTATCATCAGTCAGGCTTGCTTGAACCATTGCTGGTGAATGGCAATTATGCTCAGGATTACTTTGAGTGATGTATTTTAACCCACATTCTTTCATTTTGCAACGAAGCATTAGGAACACATAGAGTAAACTGTGCATAGCAGGGCATTTGATCCCTAACCAATGCCTGCACGTTTTCCAGGTGTTTGACAAATTATGTACGTGTTTTTTTATTCCAAACTCAGAAACTGCTCTGCTTTCATGTGCGTTTAATAAGCTTTTCATTTATTTATGAGCCCTATGGGTTACCTTCAATGCATTTTATGAGATAACACACACACACACGTGTGGGTATTGGGCCACGTGCCATTTTCATTTCATTATTTCATTTTACATTCGCAGGTCTATGTAAATAAAGATAGTGCCAACAGGAAATGGGACTTCAGCATTTTATAATATTAATAATTCACAGCCCTTTGTCAATCCAAAAGTGGATAAAGGCCTCCCCATGCCAAGTCAGTCATGCCATGTCAGTTATGCAACCACACATCTCCATCGTGGTCAGTGTGGTTTAATGAAGCGGTGGTGATGGCAGGATCATTTGCACCATGTTACACACACATAATCTGTTTAATGATAACAAAAAGACTTTAAGGCCAAAGCCTCTTTTATCATTCAATATCTTGATATTGGCGAAAGGGTCCCATAGTTACATCATATGTTGTATGTAATTACCCAGGAAGGCCTTACTGAGTGTCAATACTGGTTTTCAGGAGGGTCCTGCATTGGGTTATTTGGCCAGTTCCCTTTAATGAGCATGAGAGAATAATACTCAAACTCGTGCCAGAAACCTACTTATCATGCTGGTTCTCATGGCAATACATTGCCCTGCAGGAGGGCATCTACAGCACAGCGTGGCCTCATCCCTGCAAGATCCACCTACAAGCTCGCCAGATTGCAGGTGTGCATCATAGGGCATTGGGTTAGGGCAGTGGTGGTGCTCCGGCATAACCAAACCAAACAAAAAACTTCGGTCTAAAAAAGCAGCTCAAGAGGACCCGGATTCACGAACAAATGTATGCATGTATGTTGAACGTCTTTCGCACCGAATTGTAGCCAACCATGATAATCGGAGCTGCACAGAAGTGCATCGAATATCACCCCAAATTCGAATTCTAATAACATTACCAGCTATTCGCACAACAAAAGCAATTGCTATCTCTCATCTCTATCGTGTCTGTATCGCTCCTCTCCAATTTCACTACATCTGCATGTTTGTATTCATTTATCTTTTCTCCCTACATCTCTATCTATCGTCTATATCTCTTCTGTTATCTCACGAGGAGTTTATCAATTCAGAGGGACTGTTGGGGGAAGGTGGAGGGCGCTAATATGTTTGCTAAGAGCCTTCACTGGGCTAGAGCCCAGAGCCGGTTCCCCTCGGGGCACCTACAGTGGACGACTTGCGCTGGCGGTCTCTGTCCGAGCGCCCTCCGCCACTGCCACCGCCGCCTCCGCTGTTGCCACAGGCCTCCTCGAAGGACGAGCTGCTGCTGCGGAACTTCCCCGAGAGGTTTCGGTAGAGGCGTTTGGCGGCGCTGGGCGACGAGGGGTTCCCTGGGGCCCCCGTGCCGCCCGCAGCCATCCGGCGGGAAGCGTTCGGCAAGGGGACGTCGCGCAGCGGCTGCGCCATCTTTCCTGTGCAGGACCTTTGGGAGCAAGTGGATGAGGGAAGACGATGTCCAAATGATCGGTTCATAAGCCCGCAATGGACCAAAAATGCATCGAATCAAGTTAAAATAAAAATGCCTCTGACAATGTTACTCGATGAGTACATCAAGACATAAAAAATCCATTACGCTCTGAAGGAAAACTGCCTTATTGCGATGCTAAAATATAAAAAGTGGTAGCCCTCTAATGAACGTACGTCTTAATTTCGAATGTATTTTGGAAAATAGCGCTCTTCAAAAAACCCAACATCTATCTATATATATAAAGGTAAAAAAATTGTTTGTGGGTTTGTTGTGTGTGTTCGCGTGCATGCGAAGGATTTGCCTCTCCAACGGTGAGGTTTACGTGAAAAAAAAAAGCCAGGTACCACGCCGTAAGCCCCGCGGTGAGCAAGCACTATTCTTTTTTCACATCCGTCAACTTAAAATTAGTTAAATTAGCGATTGAGTGCGATTTTTTCGTGGTTTCATGGCTAGGGGGGTCAGGGGTAGCAGCCCAGCCCCTGCCTGCCAAGGTGTCACCTCGGCCGGCTGGACAATCTAGGCGAGGCCGGAGGCTCTGCACGGGACTAGGCCTCACCACGCCACTCTGTCAGGTGAGTACTTTTGTGCTATAGAGTCGATAAATACTGCTATAGAGTCAGCATGTACTAATGTAGTGATAGCAGGTACCACCATAGTCGGTATGCACTGCTGTAACCATATCAGGTACTACCACAGTCAGTATACACTGCTGCAATCATAGCAGGTACCACCACAGTATGCACTGCTGTCATCATAGCAGGTACCACCACAGTCCCCACTGCTGTTAGATTTTTAAGAGTAGTTTTGAAATATGTTTTTGACCCGGGCAATGCCATGTATATAAACTAGTAATGGAATGAAGTAAATCGAATGTACAGCTCGTCTTTTATTTTCAGCTGAACTGTGTCTCCACTGCCAACAGCGGTGCAGCCCTCAGTGCGCCGCTGAACGCTGTCAGCGCCAGGCCATGCAGCCCCCCGTGGAGGTTGTTTTGACCTCACTTTACCACGCTCGTCAGTGCAGGTTGCTGATACGTGTGGAGCATAGATGTGGAACTATATAAGGTAGTGTGCAGTATAACACTGGACTCTTGACGCACTGCTTTCTGCTGCTTTGCCACAGAGCCCCCACAGCCTGTTGTGCACGAATGGTGCTCGCCCATATCAGCACTGTGCATGACAAACTCTACTTAGCTTCTCAGATCTAACAAGATCGGGTGCATTCGGGGTGACTTGTTCAGAGGCCAATAATGGGAGTTAAATGAAAAATAACAATATTGTTACATTTTGTTTCATGTATACAGAATAATTGCCATATATATTATTTGTAAATATATATACATGGAAATATGGCAAGGTGACAAAACATCACTTGAAAAATATAATCACAAAGAGACAGAAATACATAAAGCACATCCAAATTAACATGACAATGATTTGCCAGCTGCCAGGTTGATGTTGCGTATGTTTGTGAGAGATTGCTTATAGGCATTACGTGCTTTTTGAAATTCCAACCATGGCAGTGCAATATTTCTATCACGTGTTTTGTTTTTCCAATAAGCTCAACTTTGACAGTCTGTTGTGCTCTTGCGGATGCAAATAGTTGTTGAGAGGAGAAAGCAGACATCATTGGACTATTTAATTTCGACGATTGTCAGGCAGATTGACAATCGACGAAGCTGTGCGCTGGGGCTTTTTAAACAGCAGAGATGGAGAGAATGATACTTGGATGTGTCACGAGCAATTACTTGAAAAGCCTGATGGGTGACGCGGGGTACGGCGTCGAACAAATGAGACCATCACTGCGCCGCGCTGATGTGCAACCACCACATTTGGCACTGCCAACGATTTCTACGGAATGACGGATCACGTCACGCCGTCGTGCAAGTGGAACGGGAGATTCTGCACGACGGCTGGATGATCTTGGGGATCCGTGACGCTTTCGCCGCTTTATTCTCTTCCATTCATTCATGTACGTGAACTTAATCATCCCTGACAGGAAGCTAGCGTAAGATGTCCTCTCGAAAGAAAAAAAAAAGGTAAGATGGCGCATCATTGTCGGGAATTATTTAGCGTCATTATTTATTTGAATCTCATGCTGTGCATCTGCGTCTGGAACAAGACAGGCTTTTGCTTAAAAAACGTTATGGCTGGATTTTCTCCATGCATTGCTGATAAACGATTTGATGAGGTTGATTCCCAGAAACAGGATATAGGAGAAATGCAGGCTTCCCAACGAATACATTTCTGCTCATGATCAAATACACTAAAGGCACAATGTAAACGTTAAACTGCTCACTTTGCCTCCACGCCTCTATTGTGAAAGGGGAGGGGATCCCAACAAGTCTGCTTGTTGCTCATGACACATGACCTGTACCGCCCGTTTGTCGATCGACTGCTCGCTGTTGGACCTCCTCACCAGCCGTGCGGGGAGTGAGGGTGCTTTGACCATACTTCTCTTCGCCGGTCACTACGGGCTGGATAAGAATGGATGTTGCCGCCCTGTCCTCTACTGTCCACAATGCCTACTGCACCTGTGTTGGGGGGACACGGTGGCTGCTAACGACCTCGCCTGGTATACAGGAGGTCGTGGGTTCGATCCTGACCCTGACGTCTGTATATTTCGAGTTTGCATGCCCACTCTCCCCGTGGTCATGTGGATTTTTCTCCAGGTTCTATAGTTTTACCAGAGGACCTGATTAAGCTTTAGCAAAATTCCATATATTGCGTTTCCGCAGAACGAAACCAAACTCCAAACCGCTAACTAATACCAATGCACAGATCGTTATAGCTGTTCGGCAAGATTGGGGGTAAAATATTTTCTAAGTGTTTTAAAAAAAAACCAACCCATTAATCTTCTTGGTTCTTTCGGTAAAGTCACATAGAAGGCAAATAATAAAATAATACAAGTAAAACATTATTCTTTTTTTATTATGTTTTATTATTTATTATTTTATTATTTCCCTTCTACGTGACTTTACCGAAAGAACCAAGAAGATGAATCCCTGCAGTCACGAAAGCTTTAAATCGAAATTCAACCCATTAATGTTATGGTGTGTACAATGTGATTAGTGCATGTCCAATAGAATGTCAAGCACATTGATATAATCTCACATCCACGTGTATTAGATTGTATGTGCATTTGTGTATCTCTTTGTAGTCAGTCAAAGCTAAAAATTGACTTCCTTGCCTTTAATGCACACGCTTGCCAGCTAGTTATTTTTTTTGCAAGTGTCATATGTCATCATGAATATCAAATTCTAGTCATCACCTCCATTCACTCTATGAATGATTTATTGTGTTCCTTATCCACACGAACGGTTGGCACACTGGACTTCAAGGTGTCACCATTTTGATCTCCCATCGCGCGACATGCTGAAACAGTGGGCAAGGTTTTCAAATTGCACCCCTCCTCCGTCGATGCGGTCACATGAAGGGGTCCACCCAGTGAATTGATCAGTAGCTTGCGTGTGGTGGGGGTAATGTGTGGGCATTGCTACCGCTTCCACGATGTCTGCCCGTCCTGAAAGAGTAGGCCAAATGCCCGCTTAGAGAGGTTCTCATGAGTTCTTCGAGTGGAGACCCTCCAGCCAGCAGTAGCATTAAAACGATCGCTGCATCTTTGCCTTTTGTACACATACAGCGGACTCTCGATTATCCGCGTGCGGTTTATCCGATTTGCGGATTTATGTCAAAGATTCTGACATAAATGAATAACTCGTGGATTTCCCCTTAGGCCCAAATGAATAATCTAAAAACAGTTATACACTGTCAACCTTGGAAATGTTCATTACAAGCCATGTGCTTAAACCGAACAAAGATGTGCTTCAGTTAATTCGAATTCCAGGGGATCACCATAACAGTATAGTAGTTCTAGATTTGAAGCTTTCGTGACTGCAAGGATTCATATTCTTAGGTTTTTTCGGTAAAGCTGTATCAAGTACTTGATACAGCTGTCGTGCTGTGACGGTTCCACCTGAAGACGGAAGCTTGTGTTGCCTCCGAAACGTCGTGATTTTTATTTTATTTTACTTTTATTAATTAAATTTTTTTACCTACGTGACTTTACCGAAAAAACCTAAGTATAGTAGTTGCATATCTGTACAACAGTGGGCAGAGTTTGATTGATTAAGATTGGCGTGGCTCTGCTACCCACTGAGTGGGCGGACTTTCCTGCGCGGGAGCAGGAAAGTGTTGCCACTGAGCACGCGCATCATCCGTCGATCGTGAGTATTCCTTCTAAATCCAAATAGTAACAATCTAAATCATGAGTTGTGCTTCATTTTGAGTGATTTTTATGATAATTTATTTCGTAAGTTTAAATTTATACCTATTTTAGTGTCTTTTGGCATGGAGATCCGGGGGAAAAGGATAATTTGGATTATCCACGATTTTGAATTATCTGAGGCCGTCCTCCCCCGTCATTAGCGTGGACAATCAAGAGTCTTCTGTCGATTTGAAAGCATATAACTTCTATGAATGGTTCCAAAGCTGAAGGATGTCGGTTTTATATTAACAGGCGTGTACAATGCCGCATATATTGATTTCTCAATTGTCAAGTTTTGCGGCAGTTTCACATTGTTCCTGAAAAAGTTTTATAAACCCCCATTGATGTTTGTATTTTCTTGTATAGAACAGCAATATCTACCCCCCCACACCTCTCCTATCTTTAGCAATGTGTTGTAGCCCTTCTTACTACCTTTACCCTATATATTTATATATTTTTATCATTGATTTCTGAAACGTGGTACGCAGTCGTAGTGTCGGCTGCTCTGACTCACTTGAGTGTGAGCGTGTGAATAAACGATTTATATTTATGTATAAACACAGATGACAGCGTTCACGCGAAAAATAATAAATGTTACGAATAAACAAGAGAAAATACTGCACAATCAACGGCATGTAATGAACTCTGCCACTCTGTGCGTGATTTCCGTTCGGGTTCATTCATGCTACTTCATTGTGATAACCTAAACCCAGAACACCGTGCGGGCATTTATATAAAACATAATCGCTGTCAGCATTATGTCCGCCAGTTGAATGGACACGCATGTATACATTATTTACTCGAGGGATATTTCACCCGCTTTTCCATTCCAGTTGACGCTCAAGTTTGGCAAAAAATGTACTTCTGATACCGTCATGGGTGGCTACCCAATTCAAAATCTCCCGAACCCGTTTGAAACAGGCGTGCGTGCAATGTTTTTATTTAATCGGTTACTCGGAATGCCGTGGCCAGTCCATGCGTCTATAAACCACGCGACACACGATCAACAGAACCAAACAGATTGGGAAGAAGAATGCGGCGCAGAAACGTTCCAGCTTCCGAGGCTTTGATTCGCTTGCCCAGCCTTTGCAACCCACTTACATAAAACCATAAAAAAATGCGTTGTCACCATGTGCACTCGGCACACCAGATGATGATCAACACGCAGCTGCTAGCGTGGGACCACGCAACCTGCAGTCCAGATGGTGGGCTCATCTGGTGGTTAAGATAGTTTTGTAGGAGAGCATGCAGTGGGAAGTATGCGATTATGAGGGCCAATGCGACACCGAAAAATAAATAGAAGCCGCTCTTCCGTTCTTAAATAATGGTTAGTGTGGCTAAAAAGGGGGGGGGGGGGTTGTGGGGAGCGGTCACTACCGCTTAATGATTAGCACGCTGTGCTCCGAACACGGCGATCCGGGTTTGATTCCCGCTCACGGCCAACACCAGTGATAGCGATTATTTGAACTGGGCCTCCGCTGGTTCGGCTCAACCTCAAAATGAGTACCTGGTGCGATGCGTAAACATCGCCACTGGGGAGACAAAGGCGGTCGGGCGTGATGCTGGCCACCCACCCCCTCGTGTGCCGTGCCGGCCTTCATAGGTGCTCGCTAACAGCACTTGCCCCAACAGTCTGTTACAGGCTATAGGGGGGAGTCTTTGTGTGGGGTGGGGTGGGGTGGTGGTGGTGGGGGGTAGGTGGAAGGGGGTGGGACATAAAGTAAATGTCAACTTCTGATAATTGTGAGAAATGATTCATGTTCAGGCTATGCGCGTCATTTGAGTCTAACGACGTGGGCCGGCGTCGACTATGACGTCCGTCGCGTCCCTCCGCACGCGTCACTGCGCGCAAACTCATTGACACGTCGCTCGCGGGAGCCGCCGTCGAGAGCAATATTTTGGCGACGGCTGTTTTGCGCAAGCACGAATATTGTCTGCGGCAAACCGCGTACATTGGCGTATGATGCGTTTGCGATATTTAATTTGAATCGATGCCGTGGACAAGGCGATGGCAAATTTAGGTCAGCCCACAATGTGTCATTCAGCGGTGAATTTAATGAAGTCCATATCATTCACACCGGCATGCATGTATCCCACTGCGCAATATTTAAGCGGCTGTATTGTACGTGGAAAAAATATATATTATGCTGCTGAAACTGCTTCGCTTTATTTATTTATTTAAAGATTATGCATTAATGCGTCAAAACTGAAAACTAAAAAATATATATAACATTTCGGTGAGTGTAATTTAAAGTTGTCAATGGAACATTGTGTCGCTATGTGCTGGTATATTTTTTGATTTTTATTATTATACGCCTGATTAACAGGCGTCACAGAAATGTTATTTTGTACAGTTCGTGCACAAACACACACACACAGGCAAACTACCACTCTCTCCTTGTTGAAGGGCGCATGTAAAGATAACCAGCGTGGCCACGCTGGCAAGTCTATAGAGCAATCATCCATTGAAAGAAGCAGATTTACTGCGGCGGCACGAATGTCACGTCCTGCGGGAAACCGTCCAAACAGTCATCAGTCTGGAGGACAGCTGCGGCGTTTTTGTTGTTGTTGGTGTTGGTGTTGTTATTGTTGTTGTTGGTGTTGTTGTTGCTGCAAAATCTTCGAGCACAACGCATTTCTGTGCAGTGAAGGAGGATAAGGAGGAAGGATGGCAGCAATTCAAAGGCGTCAGTTCCTAACTCCCTATGTCCACTCAAAGCAGTTCTGAATTATGGCATTGCTTGGCACCTACCAACAAGCCCTCCCCCATGCCTTTACAGCCACCTACCCCTTGTCATCTGCGATGCCTGCCACTGACGGTGGAACTCTTGTGTGTGTGCGTGCAGTCAGCCAGCTGCGGTATTAATATGAGACTTGGCCATGTTGCTGCATTTACAAAGCGTTTTTTTTCTTTCCCTGGCTGGGTGTGAGATCTGTGTTGCACGCTCTGCATTTATTTCCGCTGTTAGCATCAGATAAAGGCAGACGAGGGAGAAACGGGCCGTGTCTGTCGTGTGTGTGTATGCACGCGCATATGCTCCGGGTGCATTTATTTCATTATAATGTTTGCCTACACGACATATCATTGTGCTTCTGTGCATGTGCATATCAGCGGAGGATTATCTATGCTGCGTACACAAAGAGGTGGCAGCTGTCCACCCGCTATTATCATTTACAAAATTACGTTGTGCATGTGTCGCGCATTAAAAAGAGCATACCACGTATTATTTGTCAGCGCGATAAAAAAAAAAACCCATATCCGGCTCGGTACAAACGCGGCGCCGAAATAACGTCGTGCATGGCCAAAGTGTCACACCGACAATCAGCCACAGTTACCAGGATCTATTGATGAAGACTACAGGAGGGTTTGCTCATCATTTATGTGTGGAGGTGTCACCCTTTTGTTAATCCACGACTGGGGGTTATTGGACCATCGTTCACCCACGCTGGTCCAGTGGCAGGTTGATGAAGGAGCGCAGCTCCGAAGCCTAACAGTATAGTAGAGTGGGGATTTTATTTGCTGCTATCTCTCGCCTATCACGTAGCCCCACAACGCTTTGGGCAACCTGGTTTTGTGCGCGTGTGGTCTCCTATCCGAGCACTTTGCAGGCTCAAAGCCTGCTCAGCTTCCGAGTTCTGACAAGATCGGACACATTCCAGATAATTTGGTGACAGGCACTTGATGTAGATGAAGTACATATCTGTGTGTACGTGTCACATGCACAAATAATATAATGTAGTTGAGTAACGTCCTGCCCCAGCGAGTGCATACACACAATCGTTCAAACGTCGTGTCTGAATATGCAGTCTTGAGCAACCCGATAAACATAGATATTAACTTAGAATAGGGCGAGGATGAACAAGCTTGAGATGGCCACAACAGCTTCTATACATCGGGATAAATATGTGATTTGCAATGTAAAATGTGCTCATTAGTTTACCGCTAAATTGCTTAATTAAGCATGTTACTGTCTGCACGAATGATCACCTCCAATTTCCCGAGCAGTGCCAGTTTCAAGGGTTCATGTAAATCCCTCGGAGCATTGCTTCGCACTCTCTCATACGTGTTCATTAAACAATTATGAGACCCACTTCCCAGTGGATGGCAATCTTCAAAAGCAACCTGAATGCCGTAACAATGCTGATGGAACACATGGTGTTGTGTATCGGATAAACATATGGAACCATCCCACAAAATCTGAATCAGAATATCTATTTATACTGGAGGAATCCGATGAGCTATAAAGCTCTTTTTCACAGATGTCCAGTAGGGGTAGGTCAGAACGCTACAAACGAGTACCCGGCACCAAATATTAAATAACGTGGTTTCTTTCTTGCTCACTTTCCATTCTACCGTCCAATGTAGCAGACGTGGTATTTGTGGTTTAACTCTCCACTTGGTGAGAATTCACCAGCAAGGACGGCTGCTGCTGCTGCTTATTGTATACATCTCGAAAGGAATTGGACAATCACCACAGCAGTTTCATTATGACTACAACGTTGTTTAAATTAATGACATTTTGGTTACTCAAGAGCCACTGGTTCCGTGAGGTCAGCGAAGATAGGGTCGTCATTCTCTGAAGTGCCATATCACAAGCTGTTAAGATCAGAGTCTCTAAATAGCAAAGACATTTATCATTCGAATTGCCACAAGCATTTATCTTGGTTTTATCATTATAGTGTTGTGAGAACGATGTTAATGAGGGTGAGATTTTTCGGAAGCCACTGAAGCTATGCGCTTCTAAATCTAGATTGAAAACGAATTTCTATAAGAACTAATTTTTTGTGTTTAGTATGTTGTCCTTCCCCCGCACCTCTGATAAGCATGGTTGGCTACGTATGGTGCGAAAGAAGTTGAACATACATACACATAGAGCGGAGCTGTGACCAGACCCAGTGCAATGGGTTAGTGCAAGGCTGCATGTAATACTGTCCTGTACGTTCATACATTACCCAGGAAATAATTTTTAGGCTTCCAGAATGCTCAGAGAAGACACACAAATAAGAAAAATGATCACTAAACATCGGTCACACTACATCACTTCTGACAACCCACTTGCTACACTGCCATTTAAAGACACATCGATGCCGTGCCGTAGGTGTTTAGCGCGCTTTGAACACAACTCCAAACCCACATCTACATTTGCTTGATCGCAGGTGCGCAAACAACAATCCACCGCAGCTCAACTACGAAAGAAATAAAACGTAAAAGAAGACATATATATTGTAAACGTTATAACCGTTTGTAAGACTGCTGTACCGATAGACGGCACGCATTGCTGGCAGTGGAGATGAAAGCGTGAGACGTGAAGGGTTTGAGCCCGGGGAGGCAAGCCTCACCAGTCAAAGCTGACAGATCTCTGGCGATTAACCTCCGGCAACGCGAGGCGGTCACTCAGCACATTTCCCTGGCTCTGCCGCCGCTCCTTGTGGTTGAGCCGCTGGGTCAATCTCGCCAGGCCCCCCTCAAACCTGTGGGCACACACAAAGCAGACTGAGGTGATCACAAAACCATCAGCAGCAGCAGAAGCAGCAGCAGCGATTCACCCAGCGAGTGGTGGTGGTGACGTCACCGCCACTCACTGGGTAGCAGTGTCCAAGCAAGACTTGATGCTTTGTTATTCCTGCAATTGGTTGCGAAGCCGTCTTATGGGACATCACGGGACAGACACTTTATTTAGGGTTTGCAGACCCCCAGTAAATGGTGTCTACGAAGGATGGGCCATGCATTGAGTTTGCTTGCTCTGTACGTATGCTTCCCGGTGTATCCATCCCTGTGCCTCAGGCTGTCGTTGGAGGTCAGCCTCCGAAAAAACAAACAAACACGCACATACACGCACACACACACGTGTTCACATGGTCACACATTCATAAGGACGCACGTAAGATAAGCCGGCAAGCACGCACGCAAGGGTGTGGTGTGGTCACCACCATGCCTCGGCTGGCTTTTGTGTCTCCAGTGCACAAGCTTATCATAACAATTATAGGCTGATTCTTGCTAACAGAGGTTCAGGTCAAATTCTGATAGCAATTGCTACCGCTGCTGTGGATGGCGAGGAATGGAGTCCAAGATAACCGTGCAAGGCACAAACCCCAATGCCCAAACTCCCCGTTTACATGGACGCTCCGTATAGCCACACGCAGACACTCACACAATGCAGAAGCAGCCTGTGTATAGACACACTCAGACGGGCACTTGAACAAATTGTTAGTGGCACTACAATATGAGTGGCCAAAATATGCATTTGTTACATGTTAGTCTTATGTGGACAGCATCGGCTATGAACAGTTCATGGTCTATTTATATTACCACTGGGTCACATGGCTTAGAGCACCTTCCCTTGCTCGTTGCATACTAATGCTCTCACATATTAATCACGTAATAAACATACATATTAATCGTTATATATATAAAGGGTTTGTCTGCATAGGTGACTAGCGGTTGGAGGACGACCATTTATTGTAAAGATTTGCATTTAATTTCAAGTACACATGGACTATTGTAGCAATGCAGAGGTCATAATTGTGATACTGTAAAAAGAGCAGTACACTGATTAAACCTTAAACAAAATCGAAAACACAAAGAGTAAAAATATGGTTACTTAAATTCTATCCATGACAGATTTGTTGGGTTAGATTGCATAAATATAAATGTGTCGTTAAACCCGTCACCACCCGACACAGCCAATTAGTAAGGTTTCTCACGTAAACAAAACATGACAATTCGTTACGGAATGTTTTGTTTACAGGACAAACCTTACTATTTGGCTGTGTAGGGTGGTGACGGGTTTAACGACACATTTATATTTACGCGATCTAACCCAACAAAACCTCGAAATGGATAATATTACCACTTTACATTTCGAAAACAACAAATGTGGCACATTTGTACTTTGATGAGTATGAATCATCAGCTGAGTCACCGTCTTATACATTAAGCATGTATATAAAAATGCTGGGCATATCAGACACAAAAAGTAAGTGCGTGAATGACTAATGAATGGAAATCTAAATAAAAATATGAAAAATAATGAAACATTGATTGCATGTCTATATCATCATTTTCATGTTGTACCATGATAAAATATAAAACTCTATTTGTCACTCATACACATTTACTGGTTTTAAACTAACTGCTGCAGTAAATCTGACCTACGTTTCTCAGAGGGTTTCACATAAAATAAAATTTGTTCCTGAATATGTACCATAAACACTGCCCATCTTTCAGATTAAAAAAAGACCAGCAAATAAAACGACCTGATTCACGTCTAGCACGGCGCACATTCTAGACGAGTGAAAGTGTTCCTCTGCATGCAGCTCATGCTTTACATTTACAATCTTTACATCACGTGTGACCTTCCGGCGGGGTTAATGTCGATGTCACCGCGACTCACGCCTAATGCGCACGGCGCACCGGGCCATGCGAGCCGCCTAGCTATTTGTGTTGGTAATGAAGCGCAGTTTCCGTTTTAACTTTGGGGGATTACAACTGCGAGTTTAAATGACAGCATTAACCGAAATAGCGCTAATATCCTTCCTTAAAGAAGAAAGAAAAAAAAACAGCCAACGGATTTTCAACTGATAGGATCTGACCCTCATTTACGTTACATCAGCGGGACAAATTCGCTTGAATGTGGCTGGCATTGGCATGGCGCTGACAAGCATACCACGTGCTTGGGAATGACCATCTTGTACCGTAAAGCATTTCAGCCATTATCAACTACTGTATGCTATTTCGAAATTATTGACATTTACTCTGATCTTCTTAGAGTAGACTTTCACTTGACAATGTATGTGGTGTTGAACTTCTCACCGCACGTAGCCAACTGTGCGAATCGGAGGTGTGGGGGAAGGACAACAAACTAAACACAAACAGCAGTTCTAAAAGAAATGGGTTTTCAATCTGGAGAATTATAAACCAACACCGGAAGTGATCAGGCTGGTTCAATGCTCGTCGTACTTCAACAATCTAAATAATAATAAAAAAAATAAAACAAGCTAAACAAAATTCATATATCCTAACTTGGTTGAAAATAGGAGAGAAAAAAACCTAAAATTTGTGCAAAGAAGCACGGAGAGATGCACGCTTCTTGCTGTCTCTACACTGAGAGACAGAACAAAAAATCAAATAGATTGGACAACATGCGAAGGAATTATGGATGGTATTGGTCGCGAAAGCCTCCGTGTTAAAATGCGAAGGTAAATTAAACAGTTAACACGTTTAAGAGAAGTGAGTGCGCTTGGGCACGAGAAGGTACGATGGCCAATGATCAATAAAATTGACGGATTGGCATCCAAGGAATACGATGCGTCTGAGACAAACGAGGAGATGGAGCTGTGACATGAGCTCGTGTGGAGGTGTCAGGTGGGTTATTACATCGCAGGAGGCCTTCATCCAGCAGTGGAATTATCAAGGCTGATGATAATGATGATGTGTATCTTCACATTTTATATCTCTCTGTACTACCAGATATTGGCAAAGCATGTAATTATATATATAGTGACGTTGTTGGATATAAACCCAACAGGTATATCAAAATCACATTTAAGGAATACCTAGAAGTTCTACCGACATTGCCCTGTATCCCACCAGGACGTATCTGCTACTGGACTCAGTTGTGCTGACACATGAAGAAAGCCATGATTGTCAGAGGCCTATATTTAAACAAATAAAACCAACACCGGAAGTGATCACAGGCTGGTTCCATGCAAGTTGCACTTCACCATAGCCAAAGAGAGGGCAAAGCACATTACAGGCAAAGACAAGAGAGTTAATATCCTGAGTGTAAGGTCAGGAGCTAGCTAATTCTACGAATTGTGTTTCTTGCTGAAATCAGCAAAATGATTAAATGGATGTCACTATTTAAAAATTTGGTGGAGGAATTTTCAGGCAGATCTCTCCAGGAACCCGACCGTCTGGAAGGCATTACAGATATTATGCTGGACCATATGGTTCAACTGTGAACATCATCTAAGAGTTTGTAATTCTCATTGTAAAAGAAGACAATGATCAGGCATCATATATATTGAGGTTTATATGCGCTTAAATCAATAGTAATAACAAATTACCAAAGCATAATTGTTCGCGTGTGCCCATATTTATTTCAAACGTCTGTCAATATTTATATGAGAACATCTGAGATAATCCAGTAAATTCTAGCATCTCTGGTGAACAGGTAAGGGACCATGAACACAATATGACATCAACTCTAATTCATATGAAAATAATACACACAGAGATGCAAAACACAAACAAAATGTAATGCTCTATTATGTGGTGGCAAATATGATTAGTAACCCCATTTCAAAGCGCGTTTGAAAAACGTGCACACGGACAAACACACCAGCACACACTGGTGTGCAAAGAATGCTTGTCGCTCGCAGAGCTGAGAGATAAATGGCAAATTAATGCAGACAGCATGCAGCGAAAGCATTCCAAAATAATCATCTGCCTTCCGTGCCATCACATTGCCTCACATCTCAATTGCATCGTGCAACATTCATAGGAAAAAAAGCACAATTGATATTACATCCACAAAAAAATCGAAGATATGTTTCCCTGAAATATTAGGAGAATGTTCACAAATTTTCCTCCACGTGCAAATGTCTCTGGAAGAATGAAATCAACACCGTAATATTCGTGGTATACACGCTGCGATTTTAGCTTCATCTCGAAAGAGATAGAAACACGTAGGCGAGTTCCAGCGACGCAGAGAATGCAATTTACCAAAAACGGTCTGCGCCCCATCGCAGTGCCGGGTACGGTGCGGATGGCGAGAACCCACGGCTGCCAAGAACCTGTCTGCACTGACCTTCTCTCCCTTCCAGAAACGAGCCACAGCGGCTGCCGTGTCCGTACACGCCGAGCTGACACCCATGTTCTGCGCGCCTCACTTGCCGTTGTTCGTGCTTTAATTCTCTACGCTCCTCACGCCATCAACCACACAACCGCCCTGCCCCCCCCCCCGCCGCCGCTACATTTAAAGCGGCGAGGCTGAAATGAATTCCTTCCTGAATCATAGCACACGCGTTGCTCCGTCACAGCCTCCGCCGTGCGCCCGGCAACTCATCTCATGATGACCGCGACCCACCTACACCAACACGTGCGTCCTCGGCGACACTATTGTGTAGCTGATACGTTGTTGTGTTTTTTTACTTCATCGGAGATTGCGAGCTGGGGATTAACCCTTTGACAAACGCCTGTAAATAAAAGTCTCAGCCATGTCTACATTGCTTGGACTGCGGTCTGCATTCTGCAGCGCAGGTTAACAAAGGGATTTGACAATGTTCGCTCGTATACCGAGACGTGACTTTACCGAAAGACCCAAGAATACGATTTTTTTTTCAGTTACAACAAGAGATGATTGTGTAACTGCTTCCCTCTGAGACATTGAAAGATATTGATTTTCTTTCCCTCGCTTGGCTAAGTGTGTTCTTCCGACTCACAGGAAACGTAAAGAAATAGAAAACCT